CAATAATACAGGGTGTCTATTCGCAATTAACCCAAAAATGAATCTTGCAAGTTGAACATATATGTATTTGTAGGCTGTCTAAAAATCACAATAGATAGATGATCTCTCATCAAACACCGATGATGGAAGTTACAATCTAACGACTTCCAGAAGGCTACAATTTGAAGACTTTTACATAGATTGATGAAGGTTATAATCTGACGATCTTCGCGACAACTGATGAAAGCTCTAATCAACAGCCTTCACAATCAACATCGGGAGTTACAATCTGACGACTATCATATTTTCAAGGAGCCAAGACGAAGATTACAAGATGACGGTCTTTGCAACACTCTAGCAAAAGAGACTACAAGTTGACGGTCTCTTCATATCCAGACGCAGAGCTCACCTATACGTCCCAGATTCAAAGTGCATAGCTCGTGGTTGTGTTCCCAGAACGAAACGCATAGGTTCTCCCTGTGTTGCCACACCAAAACGCGGAGGTCCTCCCCGTGTGTCAGCATCAAAACGCAGGGGTCGAATCCACGTTGCAACATCAAAACGCAGCGGTCGAACCCGCGTTGCAACATCAAAACGCAGGGGTCGAACCCGCGTTGCAACATCAAAATGCGAGGGTCAGACCCACGGGGGTCAGACCCGCGTTTTTTGCATTCGACTGGTTCAAACAGAACCTGAACGGTCTTCAAACCGTATCTCCACTTAATGGGGTCGATGGGGTCGGTTACACCCCATTATGGAGAAATTTTAGGGGGGGGGGATTACACCCCTTAAACCCTTGAACGGTTCCAAAACCGTTTCCCACGATTTGGGGGCGGTTACACCCCACTTAGGAGTGATTTAAGGGGGCGGTTATACCCCCTTAATCCCCTATAAATAAGAAGAAACTCAACCGAGTTAAGGGTTAGAACTTCTTAGCTTGGATTGACCCTGGAGCTTGGCAGCAAAGAAAAGATCTTCGGCTAACTTTTTGGGGAAATTGCTGGAGCTTTGGAGATCAACAACAGGAGTTTTCTTCATACTTGGCTTATAAACCGATTTCGGTTAAATTAACTCTTTCATAGAGTTCCAAACTCGTTCAGAGTTCTAAAACTTGCCACGCAAGTTCTCCACAACATCAAATCGTGAGGAGAAGACCACGTTCCAGTGAATCAAGACGTTCGGATCGTCAACGGAGAGCAAACTCGACGCGAGCATTCGAGGGAGGTACTCCATCGCCACCGTGAAGAACCCAGAATTAAACAAATGGGAGAATCCAGATCATTTTCCTCTCTTTTGTAATCGAAATCTAATTATAATTGAGATCGAGAGAATTTAAATCAAATTTTTTTCTTTCATTTCTTTTACTCCAAATTTTCAACCAACAGTACTCAAACCACATGTTAGGTTCACGTCATCACAATAAGCATCATGCAATTATTTTAAACTACTAAGTGTAAGAACCTTATAATCCGGCCCTATAAAATGTGGTAGTCCTAGTTCAAAAAATAAAAAACTATATAATTGCATGGAATAAAGTTTTTGTCCCATTTGCATCCGGTTCTCAACAAACAAGATGAAGATACATGAGAGATCATAGTTCTCAAAACTAAAATTAATTTTGAGGGGTTTTACACAAAACTACTGTACATTTTAAGGTTGGACTTAAATATCATACAAATTTACACAGTTGCACTTATATATTTCTACTTGTTTTTCATAGCATTTTTATACTCTAAGTTGTCTAATAATTGAACATTAATGTTTTTTTTGTTATTTAAACATTAAAAATTTCTTTTGAATGTCCTCATTAAGACTTGTTATAGTATTCCCGCCCATGGACATACGGCGTATCAGCAAACAAACAGATGCATCCTTATACGTCTTGCCCCACTCAACTGGATGGTCCAGATCCCCCAGAGTCTGACTCAGTCGATTCGTCAAGTCGACATTCTTCCATGCCGACACGAAAGGCGGTGTTAGTCGGTCCTCTCGTCCTGGACGATTCACCAAGAGCCTACTCCACTACTCGTCCAGAACACCTCTTGAAACTACCTCGAAACGACGTTACTTATCGACGAAGCTGTCCTCACTGGCTACATGTCTGCATCGCATTTAATGCATGACATACACATTATTTCTCTGGCCCCGATAGTCTTCATGACTCATCGGACCACGTGGGCCACTGTCCCACCGCTGATCACTTCCTATTTAATGCCGAGGTGATCTACCCTCCAGTCGCTAGCCGACACCTGTAAAGCAAAAGCTGACTCAGCTGCCAACCCGCACTTCGCCACCGCCTCATTGTGCTTGGCCGAAGTGACCAATTCATCCCTCGTGCTTCCGATATAAATACATGTATAATTCGAACTTGTAGAAGACCTTTTGGAAACACAAATCTGACTTTGGAACATATTACTGCACACAAGAACACACAGTTCTTACTTTTCCCACTCAAGTTCATTAGCTAACTTGATCGTTGGAGGTACAACATGGGAACTAATCCCCGCCCTCTTACGAGTTTCTACATGTGCAGATTGATCAACATCTCAATTTAAGAGCCAGACATAAAGTCAGGGAAGAAAGCAACTCCTCTTCAATACTGAACCGAACCTATCCTATTTTGGATATAACTAACTGTTTGATTTTAGTCATCAACAGTTTGGCACCCACTGTAGGGCTACTTTTCTTTTTTGAGAAAACATACTAGGTTCTAAGCAAGGGTCTGACCAGTTTCGCCCTGTAGAACACCACAACTATGTTACTCGAGGTCAACTCGATGACACTACTCACAAGCTTGCTCAATCCCTTCAGGGGAAACTCGACATCTTTACTAACAAAGTCCTTGACCGGCTTTCATAGCCACAACAAGTTTCATCGGCTCACCCCCCGCATATTGAAGACCGGAGATCAGAGACTCCTCTCCACCCTGGAGCATGGTGAGAGGTCCCACCTCGGACTCCTCACACAGCTGTTGAGCAACCAGGTCGCATTGGACGACCGGACTCGCTCTCCCGTCGGACACTTAGCCAAGGAGAGCCTCGCCAACAACTTTTCCCTCAACAGGAAAGCACTTGTGAGAGTTCTCGTCCTAGCCATCCTAGAAACCACAATGGAGGAGCCTCTAGGGCCCATCATCGCCACCATACGTCTCTAACCCCCTCTACCACCGTAGGGGTCTCCGGTTATGATCGAGTGTATAGGCCGATCGCTGACGCCATTGGGGGAACACCCGCTTCTCTGATGGCATAATGAATTACCCATTTGAGAAGTTCAAAATACCCCGCGTAGGGATATATACAGGCGAAGGAGACCCTTCCGAGCATGTTCAAAACTATTATGATATAATGAGCATACTCCAAGTTTCAAAAGCAATCCTCTGTCGATGTTTCCCGATCACTCTCACAGGGAGTGCTCTCGGAAGGAAATCCATCAGCAGCTTTCGTCAGCTCAGTCAAAAGTTCATCCATCACTTCTTGGCTGATACCAAGCAAACCCCCCCCTCCCCCCCATGCGTTGATTCAGATGAGGCAAGGGCCTGAGGACAGCCTCCGAGCCTATTTCAAAAAATTTCAAGCGAAGAGACTGGAGGTCAATGACCCAGGAAGTGCAGTCGCCATGTCCGCACTCGTTGCAGGCTTGCAGAGCAACGAGTTGGCCGACTCACTTAAGTGCAGTCGCCATGTCCGCACTCGTTGCAGGCTTGCAGAGCAACGAGTTGGCCGACTCACTTGCCAAGAAGCCCGTCGACAACTATGAGCAATTGATGGCCAAAGCACATGGGTACATAGATATGGAGGACGCTCGTGCCTATAAGGCATCAACCAGGAATTAGAATTGCGTTAACTTAAACATAGAACTAGTATTGGTTAAACAACAAATTCAACAAGTCACGGGGGTTAGAGATTTCTAGAATAGTATGTCAGCGTCCCATAGATCGGGAAAAATTCTTTACATGTTTGCATACTAAGAAGTGCTATTGTATCAAATTAAAACAACTTTAGTATATATAAATACCAAGAAAAACAAGTGAAGGTATATAAGTGCAACTGGAGTGAAACTATTATGAATTAAGTGAAATTTAGCCTCCTTTTAGGGGCTGTTCGTTTGGCAAAAAAAACTGGGAAATCAAGAAATAGGAAACCTATTTCCTATTATAATTATTTTGAAGTTGTTTGGTTGGCTTAAAAAAGAAGGAAACTATAGAATAGGTGATGAGATGAGATGAGTTGTCACATTATTATTGGATGATGTGAGTGATTTTTTAAAAAACTTATTTTGAGGTTGTTTGGTTGGTTAAAAAAAATAAGGAAATGAATTGGAGGTATATTATTGAATGATGTTTTGAGGTTGTTTGTGTTTGGTTCGTTTTTAAAAATAAGAAAATAGATGAGATGAGATGAGTTGGAGGTATATTATTGGATGATGTGACACGTATTTAAGAAAATTGATTTCTTGTTTTTTTTTTGAGGAAATGGATAGAAAGGAATGTTTAATGAGATGAGATGAGTTGTCATAATATTATTGGATGATGTGTGTGATTTTTAAAAATAAGATAAAATAAGATGTGATGAGTTGGATGATGTGACACATTTCTTGTGTTTGGTTTATTTTTAAAGGTAAGAAAGGAGATGAAATGAGATGAGTTGGAGGATAAAAATAATATTTTATTGGATGTTGTGGGTGAGTTTTAGGGATGGAAATGGATAAAAATATTATTTTATTGATTTCCTTGTACCGGTTTCCTTTTCTTGGTTTTTAGGAAACCAACCAAACAGCCCCTTAGAGGAAATTACCATTAATTTCTTACAAACCATCATGCTTTGATGATACATACTTCTCAACAATTTAAATCATCACCCAAGAAATCAGTTCACCATTTATTTAAAACAATTCCCAGTTTAATTAATCCGATGCATCAAAAAAATCATAAAAAGAAATTTTAAATGAAAAACTTCTCATGAAATAATATTTTTTTTTTGATAGAAGATTAAATAATTTTATTTGTTCCAGCTGCCTCTAACCGTATTTTTCTCTTCCAGACACCGAGCAAACCCTCTCAACCCTCTCACTCGTTAACAGTCGAGAGCAGAAACTTCGCGATTCTCCCACTCTCAGCAGTTACAAGCCAAACCCACGAACCTTCGATCTCTGAACCCATCAAAAAAAACCCTGAGTTAAATCCTAACCCTAATTTCCCACTCAACGAAGGGAAGACGAAGGAGGAGTAGAGGCCATGGACGATCCAAGGGAGCTCCAGTGTATCGGAAAACTGGAGATCGCGAAACCGAAACCCTTCGGTTTCTTGTGCGGAACTCTCCCAGTTCTCACTGATTCCACCTTTTCTCTGTTTCAATCGGCCCTCCGCCTCTCTCCTCACACGTAACCTCCTCTTTCTCTCGATTTTTTTTTTTGTGAATTGTTTTTGGAATTTTTCGAGATGACATTTTTTTTTGGTTATTGATTGTTTCCAGGATCGGAGCCCCACAGTATCAAATGCTTCCGACCGAGACTGATCTCAATACTCTTCCTCTGTTGTCGAATGGTTCGGAGAAAGTGTTTCCTGCTGCTGCGAAGACCAATGAAGGTATTTTATTTTTTCCCCTTTTTTAGTAGAAATTTTGATGAATTTGGTGATGAGTTTTGTTACAATAGATAGATATCATGGATGACAACAAGTGAAATTGTATTGTATTGTAGGGACAATGTTACAGAATAAAATTCGAAAGGAAAATGGATATTTGAATATCGGTATAGGATGAAAAATAAACGAATGGATTTGCATAGTAAAAAGGGAGAATTTCATGGGAAAGAAACGCTTCAGACAGTATTTTGATATCCTTGTCGTATTATTGTTTAAACACAGATGAAATGTTGATCGAGGTGATTTATATTGAGTCTGCGCTTTGCTTAAAGCTGAGGTGTTTTGTAGTGAGCCAACATTGTGACATTGTCTGTCCAGTTAATTCATTGTAGAAAAGAAAACAACTAATGGGAATACTAAGAGAAACAATTTTCATTTTGAAAATAAATTTGATTGCACATATGGTTTTACCAACACAAGAAAAAAGAAGAGATCTAGATATGGTTTCATTTGTATAGAAAGAAAGGGACAGTAATGTCGACAAGAAATAAAGTCTCGAGAGTACTTTGTAATTGAGGATAATTATGTTCAACTAGTAATGAAGTTAGAGCAGTTGATGCCTGTAATAATAGCTTAAAATAAAAGCATTAAGGGCCAGTTTGCTATTGCTTTTTGTAGGTTGCTTCTGCTTATTTTTTTTCCCTTTCAAGAAGCAGTAAATAATGTGCTTTGTTAGACTGATTTCTTTACGTATTGAAACTGTTGCTGCTTTTGGGTGCTTTTATAAGCAGTTTTGTGATGCTTTTAAAAGTAGCTTTTGCTTTTTATAGTTTTTATACCATACATACCCTTTATTTTTTGACATGACATAATTACTTTATCTATTCAAATATTATCTTGTTTATTTTGATTGTTAAAGTCATGTCTATTTTTTGTCATTTTCACTTTTAATAATTTTAAGCACAACTTTACCAAGCGCCCTACTGCTTTTTGAAGTAGCTTATGATATATAATTACCGAACTTCTATTTTTCAGCAACTTATCTAAGCTGCTTCTATAAACTGTTTATATAACAAACTTATCATAAGCTCCAATAATTCCAAACTGGCCCCAAGTCCTTAGTTCTTTGTTTAGTTGTTGATGAACTTACTAGGTAAAAGTACTCGAGCTTGAGGTGCATGATGTTTGATGATTCTTTTTATGAGGTGCTGAAAGGGTGTTCTCTAAAGTAGGAAGGTGGAGAGAAGGATTAGATTGAAACTTAAATTAGGAGAGCTAAAAAAATATATCGAGCAGCGAGTGCAACTTCAATAGAAGCATGTAGGAGCTAATCTTCTGTCCACATTGATGACGGAAGAGTAAGTATTGCCATTGCTTAGAATCAGTCAACTATCATACAGCAATTAGGTGGATGCTGTTTGATAAAATTGAAACACGATGGTCAATGTAAAGAGTGCTTCTTGAGTATTATTATATTATATTACCATAGGTCATGACTCATGCATGAAGATGAAGTTCTATGAGAATGGTTATGTGGTGAGCATAATTTACTGGTTGGAGTGTTGACTATTGGGCAATAAGTAGCATGTTCAAAAATTATGATTGTAGTGAAATGGGAGATGAACGAGTGAAGGTGTGCTTAAGATAGTTAAATAGAAAGTTATTCGTAGCGATTACAAGTAGCTTCAATTGGCTATAAGATAGGGGAAAACCTGTCAGGCTGCACGTGTAAAAAAATGATCAGTGAGCATGCTACCTAAGAGAGTTGATAGGAGGTACTTGTTTTAGACCTAAAAGTCATTTAATGACAATAAAATTTAGTTGTGCTTGTAATTTTTGGAAGCTTCCAACTCCATAATAATGTTATCTTTTACATCACTTTTGTGCATTATTTCAGCAGCACAAGGTGTGTCATTTTTAGGTTTCCATCTTATCTTTATTCTCTTTCTTTTGTAAAAGCTGAAAACCTGCCCTTAAATCTTTTGCTTATTTATTTTTTGTATCTATGTTGCACCTTAAGGGGAGCTTGTAGTTCCCTAAAAGATACTTTTTCTTAGTGGTGTTCCAATCAATGTTCTTTACCCAAAAATTTGTCTCGGCCAGATATCCTCTCTTTCTTTGATTGCTTATTTTCTTGGTTCACTATTCTTACAATATGGGGGAGCCAACCTTATTTAGTTGATACACTGTCTGAAATGCCACGATTATTCTCTTGATGCTTTAGATCTTTTCTTCAGCAGACTTAAATAATGGATGGTCTCTGAATGATTATTGACAATTTTAAAGAATGTTTATCAACTTCCAATAATGTTCCTTAATCAAACTATGAAATTAGACAGACTGTGCTACTTTTAATTCTTAAAACAAATTTCCTATTTCCATGTATGGCTTAAGGTTTTTCTCTTAGTGGGTATATTCTAGAGGAATCCAAAGTGTATGGTATGAATTTCCATTTGGGACATGCATAATATCTGGAACGCTTATCGAATATCAACGACGGTCTTAATTTTCAAAGTTTCATTAGGGTCTACGCTCTATTTATAAGCAATATTAACTTCTCCTACTGTCCTTTGTTTCTCTGTGCTGCAAGTTTCGGCTTGTGCCGTGGAATTAAAAAAGTCTTAAATGTCCCCTATTGCGTTTCCTTCGACCATTTCTTTTCTGCTACCACTCACTATCTCTAACCTATGAAGCACGGACACGCATAACATGAAGCCGTGTCGTGTCGTGTCGTGTCCGTGTCGGACACACGTGTCCGTGTCGGACACACGTATCCTATGTATTTTTTAGGATTTGCTTCGTGTCGGCGTGTCGGATGGCCGTGTCGGATCCGTGTCCGTGCTACATAGTCTCTAATTGCTGGAGTAAAGGGGTTTACATCTTCTTACTTCTTAGTACTGTGTTTCTTGCACCATTCTCATGCAATATGATGTGAACTCTTCATAGTCAAACCCTTAGGCTGCATTTGGCGAAGGGTTAGTAAAAGGGTAAAAGAGGTTTAACCTTTCACTAACCTTTCAAACACCAATTTATGCCTAAAGGTTTTGATAGCTCGTTTTCAAGGGTTAAGGCAAGTTAACCTGTCGAAATGATAGGTTAACTATTCCGCCTATTAAGACGGTGTTAGGCTTAACCCGTCTTTGTATGGGAGGGTACATGAAGGTGGAAATTGTAATTTTTTAGTACTTTGATATGGCTCTACTTCATTGTTTTAATGTTCATGTAGTTAGAGCTTAGGTAAGTTAATATTTTATAATTTAAGTCACCATGGCCATTCAAGAGTCTGTGTTATTTAATATTTTAGTATAGGCTCATTAATATTTTAGTATTGAAATAGATTTGGATCATCCATGTAAAAAATCATAATACTTTAGTTCATGTCCACACTAGAGTGGAGTGTAATTAAATATTTTATAATATTTGAATTAGAATAATCAATCGACTCATACGTTATTTGGGGCAAATTCTCTACATTCCTGATTATAGAGAATGTCTGCAATTGATTACACTGATTAATAGCATTGGATCATTCAATGAGCCCTGTAGTTAAATTTGTTGTATAATTTACATAATGAATATCATTCATGCAGTCCACTGAGTGAGAAGTTCTAATTGGTTAATTGTAGAAATTCTCTATAATAAAGTAGATAGAGAATGTTATAAAAAAGAGAACGTAGAGGATCTCTCTCTCTTTCTCTCTATTTGTTTATTTACAGATAATGAGTGTTCGTAATAACTAACTTATTAATACTTACATTTTGTATAGGGAGTCAAAATATATTTTTGATCAACCATCAGTCATTTTTTCTACTTTTGATAAAGTTAAAATTGGTATTTTTAAAAAAATCAGGAGGATAAATCTTCTTAACCCTTCATTAATTACTAAACACAAAAAAGTTAATTTCCTTCATCGAAACTATCTAATCCGAATGGAGTTTAATAAAATTTAACCCCTCATGATGGGTTAACTAATTTAATCCTTTTACTTAGCCTTTCTTCCTTAACCTCTTGCCAAACAACGCCTTACGAATTAAATCTTACATCTTACAGGAAAAACCTTCAGGACACGGTTTTTCCCAGCATGTTAGGGTTTTTTTAAATCCAATAGTCTTAGTTGAGAATAGGTACATATTCACTCTAACAGCATGTAACATGTTGGGGTTTAACAGTTGAAGGTCTCATGTAAGATTTTAGACTCGACAGGGAACTCCAACCCAAACGAGCAGCAGATTGTGTTTGCGCTGGGCAGATTAAACCCACCATCTGTTTTGTGGGTTGAGAAAAGAGGCTCTAAATGGTTATAGTTCAGTTTTAGGATTATAGATGTTTCTTTGACTCTTATTTTATTTCTTTTAGGCTTCTCAATAAGCTAATATACTTCTGCAATAAGTCAGATTAGTGACCATGAAGATAAGTGCTAAGAGGCGGATATTTAGCTGTATATTCCTCTAATGCTAAGCTGAATGAGAAAACTCGTGTACTCTCATAACATGTAAATGCTCTTACAGCCTCAAGTGCTCAGTATAAATATCATTGTAGTTGCTTGGATTTATTTTGGAATGATTGGTTTCTGGTATGTTCATTTACCTTATATCTATTTGATGTACCTATTGATGGAATATTTGTCTTTCAGAGTTACATTGGGAAAGTGGTCCAGTCAGTCAAAACTTATCACGAAAATGTGAGGCACTTGCTGTATCCGGTTTAACAGAATATGGGGATGAAATAGATGTTGTTGCCCCTACTGACATTTTGAAGCAGATATTCAAAATTCCTTACTCAAAGGCTCAGGTGTCTATTGCGGTTCAGCGATTGGGAAATACCTGATCCTGAATACAGGGTATGTTATTTAGCTATTCTGCAATATTACTATGTAGATCTCTTAGCTAGCACTTGATTTGCAAGCTGCAAGTGTGCTTTGTGGAATCTCACTTGAAACGTCTTTTGCCAAATTTAGACCTGACGTCGAAGAAGGAGAAAAGATATTTAGGAGACAGAGTAACCAATCTAAAGGTTCAGATCCTTCGATTTTCTTGAACTTCGCGATGCATTCAGTAAGAGCGGAGGCTTGTGATTGCCCACCAACTCACCAGCCACCACCAGAGAAGACAAGTTCAACTATCTTACCAGGCTGCTTCATAAATCGAGAGGATTCTTTTGTATCCTCCACAGGCTCAGATTCTACCGAGTCTAAATTTCTGGATAAAAATATCAGTGGGAGCCGAAAATCTGGACAAGCAAGTCATGACAATTATTACTGGGGTACTAAACAGAACAAGCATAAGTGTAAAAGGCCAAGTTCTGTCAAAAGAACTTCTCAAGTTGGTGAAAAACCCAGAGGCCCAGTGCAAGATTCTGATAAGTTTAGGAGAGCTGGTAATGATAGTTTCCTGAGGGTAATGTTCTGGCAGTTCCACAATTTTCGAATGCTTCTAGGCAGTGATATGCTTATATTTAGCAATGAGAAATATGTAGCCGTAAGCCTACACCTATGGGATGTTGCTAGGCAGGTAATTTGCAAACTGCGGACTGTTTTGACATTGCTTCTTTTTGGTAATATTAATGTTCTCTGTTCCTCTGATTCAATTTGACAGGTCACTCCACTGACCTGGCTTGAAGCCTGGCTTGATAATGTGATGGCGAGTGTGCCGGAATTGGCTATCTGCTATCATGATAATGGTGTCGTTCAAGGCTATGAGCTTCTAAAAACAGATGACATATTCCTACTGAAGGGTATATCAGATGATGGTACTCCCGGATTTCATCCGCAAGTGGTCCAGCAAAATGGGTTATCAGTATTGAAGTTTCTCCAGGATAACTGTAAACAAGATCCTGGTGCCTATTGGGTATGAATCACCTAATTGCAATATTTTCTCCTTTTTTGTAGTTCATATGCTACTATTGTACATATTAATTGCTCTACAATTATCATTTGTTAAATTTTTTTTACTTGTACTGTATTCTGTCTCGTATATTCAATATGTTTGACGGGTTCTTATTAAATTCTAGTTTCTAGTGGGTATGAGTTTCAGAGTTTTCTTTCTTTTATATGCCAAATGCCAATCAATTATGTAGATATTTGTGTGATAAATTCATCTAATTTGTGAATCATTTATTGTTTTCTGCTTAAAGTATTGTTTTTGACTTGGAGTTTGCGGCACCAAACTAGATTGGTTACAACGACATGTCGGACATGTCGGCCAACATGTCCGATTTAGGGGTCAACCGACACGATATTGAGTTTTTCAATGCGTATTGCATTTTTAGGGTTTATGTCGGATATATCGGGGGCTATGTCGGATATGTCAGGCGAATATGTCGGCTGATACGTCGGCTGATTTTTTAGTCTAAAAACTTGGTTGATTTTTTTATTTTTTTGGTTATGTTTGTCTAATCAGGTTTGAGTTTAAATTCTTGATTGTTTTAATATTACTACCAAAGACAAAAACCGATAAGTTACGGAAAATGGAAAAAAAGACCAAAGTAATATACGTCGCTCATCTTCTCTCTCTCCTTCCACATCTCATCGGTCTCTTCTCCGAGCTATTCCTTCGACATCAATATCAGGCGATCTTCTCTCTTCTTAACCGCTAATATCAGATTTCTCACCTCTTTCCTTCAACATCAACTCTAAACATCATAAGTTATTTGCTCTTTTATATGTTTAGACAATAGACAATAGACAATAGACAATATTTATATTACACATATGCACACCATCCGATATGGCAATCCGATATTTTTTTATCTCCCGATAAATCCCCAATTTTCGCTATTCAACATGAATTTTAGCTATCCGACATGAACCTGACATTCGACATTTAAAACTTTGGTTTACAAGTACTTCCCCATAGGCTCCTACTTGATATGAATCATTGAAGTTCTTAATTATTATGATCGAATTTTCATGAATTACTATCATCTTCCATTTGCAATTATCTCTGTTTGCTATACACACACACTACATTTATCACATTCTTGAATCTTTATTCTATGTGGTCTCCCCCCTCCCCCTTTTTGTCTCTTTGTTACTATGTGTGTATCTTGCGTTTAAACGGAGGCTATAGCCTAGACCAAGTATTTGTAAATTCGTAATTTTGTTGGATGTTCTTGTGTACGATTATATTGACATTCCACAGACAAGATTATGCGCCCCTGTTCATGAATACTAACATGTTGGCTATTCCCTACAGGTGAGACAATTATCTAACTTTATGTAAGTAATTTCTATGAAAATTTAGGCAATATTTTGCAACTGTTACAGATGGGATGAATCATTGTTTGGAGAGAAGCTGTTGATATATACTTTTTTGAAATGTAAGAAATGTTTAGGTAAACATTAGTAGTACTTCATTCCAATGTTTTAAATATTGGCCGATAAACTGATAATATCAGCGATTTATCGGTTTAGGGCCTTTCACTATGATCAGTTCAATTCTAAATCGGTTATCGTTTTTTGGATGTTTATCGCCGATAATGCGGGGATAAAGTGAGTTATCGGCTGATATTGTCGGCTCAAAAATCGGAATTATCAGCCTTTTGAGTTTTGATTTTGGGCAACATGCACCTATTCAATGCACTTTAAACCCGACCCGACACCAAGTTTCTACCATTGGTTAATGATCCTAAACATAATTATATACTTGGTATATTTATATTTCATTAAGTATGGTTAAATTACATTTTAGAATATTATATTATATACATCATTGTAATGTCACACCGATAAATACTAAGGTATTAAATATCGGATATTAGGGAAATATCGGATGGTCAAAATTCATATTGGGTTGCAGATATCAGGAAAATATTGGGGATATGTGGTAAATATTAGAAGGCAATAACGGATATTTGCATGTATAGTATAATGCACTAAAATGTAATCTCAACATACTTAATAAAATTTAAGAATATAAAATTAAATAGTATATGTTTAGGATCACTAATCAACCTTGTAAAACAAAAAAAAGTACAAATTAATGTTACAACATGTTGTCTGAATTTTTTAGACCAAAATGACATTTTCATATAATGAAAAAGTCATGACATGTCCAAAAATTGCCAACACGGTATATTGTATTATAACAAGTGATATAAAATGATATACTGGTCAACATATTGACTGACATGTCCACTATATCGGGGATATATCGCCCAAAATAGCCAAAAGGAGCTAAAGGATATTCGGAGACCATATCAGTTGCGGCCAGCCCTGTAGAAGGATATACTAGGGATATCTCAGGCCTTATCGGGGATATTTAAAACAATAATAAATACTACTTATTCTCGATATATCCCCAATATTCACTATCCGATATGGATTTTGACCGTCCGATAAATCCCCGATAACCGATTTTTAAAACCTTGCTTCATTCATAATGAATATGAATGTTCTTAGCCTCATGTTCCATTCTCAAGCTTAGAGCTGAAAATGATGAACTTTAACACATTCATGTTGCATTAATAATGATTAATATTTTTCCCGTTGGTAACTGAGTCTTTGCATAGAATAGATGTTAGTAATTTTTTTCATGCAAATCCACGTTCTTTGGATTTCCTTTTTCCCCCTTCTTGGTTCTGTTTAAGGATCTGGTTTTCCTTTGTTATCAATGTTAGTGTCTGAAAATATAAACTGCAACCCTCACAACAACTACTTCCTTGTGGTATCAGAGTGACCTATGTTCATTTCCCATCGATCACACATTGAAAGTAGACTTTAAAACTATCGGTAAGCAAGTTTAGGTTCCGTCCATGAAAAAGGCGTGCAACCATGGGATCATGTTAGAGTACAAAATTATAATCCTCAACTCTCTCCACAATTTTGGTGCTAGTAAAAGAGATTTTTAAGTTGGTATCAAAACGAGTTATTGCCAAAATTAATGAGGTGCAGCAAGGGTTGAGCCTTGATGGCTATAATTTTATACTCTTAACATGCTCCTACAGGTTTAATTTATTTTCATAGGCTAAAACATGTGTTGTTTAATGCAGTGATATCTTTTTTTTATTTGCTTTAAATGAGCATCGGGTAGAATTTGAACCAAGCTTATACATCTTCTTGTGTATATAAATATAAGTGACACTTAATGATACTCTACAAAGAAGAAAACTAAACTTCCATTCTCACCTGTCACAATGTGTGGTTGGCCACCATTAGCGGTGTGCAATATACGATTGAGTTGTCAACCCAACCGAACCGACCAAAGTTTGGTGGTTTTGTTCGGTTTTAAAAGCAATTCCTTTCCCTTCGGTAGTTCGGTTGTTAAATTGATGTTCGGTTTAGGACTGAACCAATCACACCCTGCTATTTTAGTTATCAAATAATAAATTTAAACTTTAATTGAATCCAAATCTAGTACTAGTTCTACCAGATTATCATGCCTACCATGTCCAACAAACTTGTTATAAATAAAAGCTAGAACTACAACCCAGATTCCCCACAACTGGGTGAGATGTCATTATGGGACTTTATCATCCTGTAAGTAAATAAATTAAGGTCACTATTTTACAACCATTCAACATGTTGTTTCTTTAATTTTAGCCTGTGCTGTTTTAGTTGATCCACGCATCAATATATTAAAAAAAAGCTTTATAGGAAGTTATTTACATTGTGCAGTAAAAGGCAATTGTTTTGAAAGTTGTGGAAAACAAAAAGATGTGCAGTAAAAGGCAATTGTTTTGAAAGTTGTGGAAAACAAAAAGACTTTAAGCATTTTTTAAATATTCATTTCGGACAAGGTGGGCGCAGTTTAGACAATAAAAATTGGAACCTCCCTGTTTTCATGAGTATTTGAGGTCTTTGAGAAACTGGGAAGCAATGCAATTCAAGTTATTAGTGCAAGTTAGTTTGTGATGATTTGTGCTGGATTTGTTGTCTTTTCATTTTTCAGTCAGAATCCTTCACCATGTCTGCTAGTTGATAAATTTGTTGAATGGTTTAGGTCTTTTTGTGTATGCAAGTACAGCTTCTAGTGGTTGATGAAATGATTTCTTGATTTTATGTTACCCTATCTTGTTTCTTTAACAACCATAAATAGTTTCAACATGGCTGGAGGATGATGTGTATTCTCTTCTGGGTTGTATACAGCTCTATAAAAGTGCAGGAGAGGATGTGATACAATTATTTGATCTCTCTGTCATGCCAAAGAACCATACCGATGATGATAACGATACAAGTCTTAGCTCTTTGCCGTCCCTAATCGATAAAGGAAGAAAGGAGTCTTTGTTTTCTCTTGGGACACTTCTTTACCGTGTTGCTCATAGGCTTTCACTTTCCAAGGTATTGAACGTAGAAAGATGTACATCTTGATGTCTGTGCATTATACTAGTTGATAGCTAAATAAATCTTCTATTTGGAATTTTACATTTTGATTACCATGACTGCTGCAGGTATCTGATAATAGCACAAAATGTGCTAATTTTTTCAGAAAATGTTTGGATTTCCTTCACGAGCAGGATCACTTAGTAAGTTCCCTATCTTTCCTATCATTTACAACTTGCTTTTCAGAGCTTGTCCCTCAAATCTGTATTCCTTAAAAAGATTAAGATTATAATGGAATTTTTATTCTTCTCTAGGTGGTTCGTGCATATGCTCATGAACAATTTGCCAGACTTATATTGAAATGCTATGAAGAACTTGAATTAACATCTGAATCTTTTCTTCTGGAATCAGAGGTGACTGTTACTGATTTGGAAGATGGATCTTCAGAGTTTTCTCTTGAGATGTTTGGATCAACAGTTCAAGATATTGTACCATCTCAAGCTGTTGAGGATACACCTTCAATTAAGGACAGGTCAATTCTTCAGAGTTCAGGACCAAACTCTTCAGCATCAACAATGGAAACTGACCAACAAACCGATGCCGTATTTTCAGCAACTGAAGTGGCAGGCCTTATGGATGACCCAGCCAGTTCTGTAAAACATGACAGCTTGGATATGTACAAAATTTCCTCAGCTTCACCTAATTTGACGAGAGCAGTTGCTGATCCAATTTCCTCTAAGTTTGCTGCAATACACCATGTGTCACAAGCTATTAAGTCTCTTAGATGGAAACGCCAACTCCAAAACACTCAAGGAGATCTGGTTGACCGTGGCAATAAAAGTCGTGACAGATCTAATTTATCTGTTTGTGGATGCGGTGATGCTAACTGTATTGAAGTTTGTGATATTCGAGAATGGCTTCCCAAATCAAAAATGGATCAGAAGATGTGGAATCTCGTCCTTTTGCTAGGTGAATCATACTTGGCTCTCGGTGAAGCTTACAAAGACGATGGACAACTGCATCAAGCTCTAAAGGTTGTCAAATTAGCATGTTTAGTTTATGGTTCAATGCCCCAGCATCTTGAAGACACACAGTTTATCTCATCAATGGTCAACACCTCGTCAAATCTGCTAAAGGCCAAAAACCAGAAGGAGAAAACAGATTGGGTAATAGATTTTGCAGAACCCTTGGAAGCTTATTCTACCGATCAGTTCTCTACTACCTACTTATTCTGGGCTAAGGCATGGTCACTTGTTGGAGATGTATATGTCGAGTGCCATCTGTCTAGAAATAAGGGAAACCAATTACAAGATCAAAGAAAAACATCAGGCAGTGAGCTGCGCATGTCAAATGAAGTGGTGAGAGAGGTCGCACGTCTTAGAAAGAAGTTGGGGCAATACGAACAAAATTGTAGCTCTTGCTCTCTGATAAACTGTAGCTGTCAGAGTGATAGGGCAAGTAGTGGTAACAGTGCAAGCAGTAGCAGTAGAGACTCACCTTCTTATAGTAGGAAACAGAACAGAAAATCAAGTAAAAGGAATTCGTTGCATTCTCCTGTTGGAAAAACATGTGACGGTAATAGTTCACACAAAATAGTACGTGAGGATAGGCAAAATATTGAAAATTTACAGGACATGCGTGATGGTGATACATATGCTACTCCAGTAAAAGAATGTGAGCTTCGAGAAAGTTCTGCAACTGCTGATGCTGTAGGCCATCAAGATTTTAAGAGAACTCAAACATCGGCTTTGATTGATGAATCTAACTCTGAATCAGGTAGTAAAGTTGCATCAGGGTTAAAATGTGGAGGTATTTTTACATTCCTTGAAAGTCCTAAATTAGTCGGGGTGGAGAATAATCTTTCGGCTGCGACAGTGTGTTATAGCGAAGCTAGGAAAGCAATTAGTGAGTTCCCTACTGGAGCTGCCGAATTGCATTCTATTTTGAAAAAAATGGGATGGGTGTGCAATGAGCTAGGCCGCCATAGGCTGGAGAATAGAGACTTGGGTGGTGCTGAAATTGCCTTCGCAGATGCTATAAAGGCATTTAAAGAAGTTTCCGATCATACAAATATAATACTGATTAACTGTAATCTAGGTCATGGCAGAAGAGCATTAGCTGAAGAACTGGTAAGTAAGATAGATGAGCTTAAAAGGCATGATGTCCTTCCAGCTGCATATAAGCAAGATATGAAGACTGCAAAATTGGAATACTTTGAATCTCTACGGTATTATGAGGCTGCAAAAATAGAACTATCTTCTGCTAATGACGTTCCTGATTATTTGTCACTGCACAATGAAGTACACACACAGTTCGCTAACACATACCTTAGGCTTGGAATGCTTCTCGCAAGAGAAGCAAGTTCAGATGATAGTATTGATCTTGGGCATTCTGATGAATTATATAAAAGAGGCAAAAATATGGAAAGACGAAAGAAAGTGATGTCAGCCAGTGATGCTTTTAGGGAGGCTTTGGCGACATATGAATCTTTGGGTAACCTGCGTAAACAAGAGGTGGCCTTTGCTCATTACCATCTTGCTTGCTACCATAGAGACGCCTGTTTGAAGTTTTTGGATTTGGATCGAAAACAAGTGACACTTTCTAATTATGAAACTGAACGTCAAAAGGCTAAGTGGTATGCTTCTTTAGCAGACAAGCATTGGCAGAGGTCCATAGATTTCTATGGTCCAAAGACGCATCATGTTATGTATCTTACTATTCTCATGGAGCAGTCATCTCTTTCATGGAATCTGTCGAGGTCACTGCATTCAAACATGGTATGCTCTCTAAATCTCTTTATGGTTGGTATGCTTGCATGTGAAGTGCATAGTGTTTTGGATTCTGCAAATTCTTTGTTGTAGTTCTATTTTTGGGTAGATAAGTGCAGGCATTACTATCTCATGAAAATCTGGGAAATGTTTGTTTTAATTTTTTATAACTCCATGTATAGTTACGGAAACAAAGTCTCTTAAAGAATATGCTTTTATTTGGATGTTCAACTCGAGCTCTAGCTGAAGGCTAGACCAGGCCCAACTGGAGCTTCTCTACACCCTCTCCATGTATCTGGCCCGTCATAGCCATCTATGTCTGACATGAACTGTACACGTGGAACTTGGGCCAAGCTCAGGCTGCAGGTTGTCTGATATAGTTTGGATTGATCGGTGTTTTTGGTTGATTGCTTGGTTCAGGAATAAAGAAACTTCTTAGGGGCTTCGGTGACAGGTTTTCAATGAATCATGTTGAAAAGATCATGGAATGATGGAAGAAAAATAATTATAAGAAGAAGAGGCAGACAAGAACAAATTACAATAAGAATAATAATAAATAAGGGGAAAAAATTAATATTTAACGGAAATGGTTTACAGCCAAAGAATGATTTTTTTTTTTTTTTTTTTGAGGAGGGAGTTGGAAACCGAATCAGGATTTCAAGTTTTTTACAGCTGGGCTGAGTTGATGATAGTATCAGTGTTAGAGT